CAGACAAACTCTGCCAAAAGACAGGCAGCAAGAAAGAGGCTAAGGCTGTGTGTGAGGCCGCAAGACGCTTAAATATATTCCAACATTGGTACATCTTGATAGACTACACGCTATACAAGGTATCCACTTGGATAAACATTTTAATTGAACTCTAAAATCCTAAAGGCCTTCATTTATGCCCAACTCCACAGAGATAACAATTATGGCTTTAATACTTTCACAGGTACTAAGTATTCTTCAATTCTTTTTCCTCCAATAAGGACAATTTCCATGAATGAAAAAGAGTGAGGAGAAAAATGAAATGTTGTTTTGCAATGATCAGCTAAATGCTAAATGCCCAAAAGATTTTAAAGCTCAATGCTGAGATAGTAAATGAAGAATACAATAAATTCACTCAGAGATAAAGCTTTTCAAATTATATTTTAAGATAATAAACAGGCTAATTCAATTTTTCCACATAATGAGGCAGCCACAAATAATGAAGTGCAAACCAGAATACATTTCTTATGAGTATCAATAAAATAGTCCTTTAATAAAAACTTAGATCATTTTTGTATGTTATTAAAACTGAAATGCAATAAATTTAAAGTGAAAGCTAATAACTGAACACGACAGTTATAACTGTGAAACTACGGCAGAGCCAACCTGAGAAGCAGTGTATTTCCACATGGAGTGCCAAGAAGTCAACAATGGTAAGCCCAAATAAGACCTGAATGGTATGCTTAAAATAAAATTTAAGATGCATGTTGATAAAAAGGTATTATGGGAGATAACAGCTACTTGGCTGCTGAACACACATGTTATTTTGTCAGACAAATAAAGAATCCCCCCATGTATGCTTCCAATGATCTCTGGTGAGGCACTACACTTGTCTCTGAAATTCACCAAACTCATGTACCTGTAACAGCACAAAATGAATTATTCAAATTAAAGATAAAGCAAATGAAATAAAATTTCCTTTAAATTGTATCAACTGACATCAAACAAATACGTTTTTTGATAGAATGCCCATAAAAAGCAGTTTATTTCACTGGTTTATTACTATGAAAACAAACAGTGCTTGGAAGTAAAATTGTTTTTAACTGTTATTCCTTACAAGATATAATAAAGGCAAGCTGACAAATGCTTTCTGCTCTCTATATAAAGGATCAAATGATTTCCTTTTAGGGAAATTTCATTTTCCCCATTCATTTTCTTAAAACGTTTGTATTCAACAAGGACAATACAGAAATCTGTTCATCAAGTCTTTAATTCAGCCCTAACTTTTGGCTACAGTGGCCAAAGCACATTTTGTTTTTTTTTTTTTTTAAAGCAAAAGCAGAAAACAAAGACTCATAGAAATTATGACAATAATTTCAAGAAAAAAATTGGTAATGCTAACAATAAGAAGACAAATTCTTTTTTTTTTAAGGGAGAACTGACAGAATATCCAAGTAGAAATGTCTTAGAGTCTTTCTCAGTGATGGTCCTGCCCAACCCAGAGATTGTATACAAATACCCAAAGACATGGGAAGAGAAAGGAAGGCAGGTAGAGGTTTGTTGTGAAATAATATTTTTGTATACTGTGAAGATTTGTCACTCTGATTGATTTAATAAAATAGTCAATAGCTAGTCAAGATTTCTGGGCAGAGAGGATCCTGGGAAGAAGAAAGGCAGAGTTGCCAGCCTGATAGAGAGAAAGCAGCATGGGCAGCAGAGAGAAAAGGTTACCGAGCCATGTAAAAAAATGTAGATTAAAAGATATGGGTTCATTTAAGTTACAAGAGCTAGGTAGAAACAAGCCTAAGCTATTGGCTTCATAATAAGTCTCCATGTCATTACTGGGGACCTGATGGTCAAGACAAAATAGTTTGACTACAAATAGCATCCAATGTAGGGGCATGTATTTCTACATAAGACCTAAGAAAGCTTACAAAAAGGTTCCAAACACACCGCTACACAGCCAAACACAGCTTCCTAGTCCCACAGTCTCTCATATGGGCCATGTTTACAGAGAAGCATCTCCGGGCCACTGCTTGTGGGCTTAAGCCAACAGTGTGCCATGAGCTAAACTTGGCAGTGGTTTAAAGTTTTGCTCAGGCAGACAGGAAAGGATACAGATGCACAGTAAGGCAGGCTCAGATGAAAAAAAAACTCTAAACAGGCTACAGTGTGTTTAGGCTTTGGGGGGAAAAAGGAAAAAAATGTATAGACAGTCATAACAAAAATAAATAGCTTAAAAATAATAAAATTTTAAAGAGAGAAGTAAAGCAATAATTAAGAAAAGAAATAAGCCACAGAAGAATGGGAAATATTATAACACAGGGAGTTTGGACTTTATACGGCACTTTGTTAATTTTGAATTTTTTTAAATACTGGTAAACAGACAGCAGCTGCTGAGACATTGGATTGTGGAAGGGACTGCTGGATCAAACCAACCTATATACTTTAGGAATGCCTTAACTTCAAAATGGAAGTAAAAAATGTATTACATTGGTGAAGAGGTTATGCTTTTGTTTCCATAGGAAATGAAAGGCTGTGGATTCCTTCCAGGTTAATAGAGATCAGATTTGCCTGGGGGGAGACCTCCTAAGTATTTTGGCTATAGACATGGGGGAGGAAGTCAAGAAAGACTACAGGGTAGGTATATTAGCTGACCCCTCTGCATGAGAACAGCTCAGAGATGATATGAGACTTAATAAATTATGTAGGCTATAGAGTCCATGTGACTTATTATTACATGTCATCCTTTCATATGACATGGATAGAGATTTAAATTATAGTTTGGTTATGCAGTCCAAATGGATATATAGTTGATAGATGCCTTTACCTCCTCAAGCATAGAACAAAAAATCATCTTCAACTGACTTGTGCATACAGGACATTCCATACTTATGTTAATGCAGACATGTATATTACCTTTGAAAGTTTATGTGTTTTCAGGGCAAGGTGACCAGACACCAATAAAAACAGGTGGCCTCTCAGAGGGCTTCTGTTACAATTTCCTCAGAGTTCTGCATCCAGAACAGGTTCAAGGCTACTGGCTGAGATGGTCTAGCTTCACAGACTGTTCTACCCAGGATTTTACCATTATCCAAATTTTCCCAGGGTCCCCCAAAGATTCTAGCACCCCTAAACAACAGGAAGCAGTCTAGAGAACACAATGCCCACATTCCCAAGAAGTTGGGTCAGTGGTTTTTGGTTTTTCAGTGGGTTATGGATGTTTGTCATCATTTAGGGTAGTTGGTTACAAATTGTTATTAGTTATGGTCAAAGAAAGCTTAACAAAGGAGATTAGATTCAAGGATCTCTTTCTAAAAGGGAAAAATGGGAGATATAGCACAAAAATGATGGGATAAAAGGGTGGATTGTTGAGTCTACTTTTGAATAATCACTAGTCTCAATACTTTACATTGGTATGATTTTTGTATATTGATACAAATTTAAGGTTATTTTTTGTCATATTGTATGTATGTTTCCATTCTTCTTTAAGGTATTGTACCTATTCAGTTTATTTAAAAATGTCAAGTTTTAGTCCTTGAAAGCTATTTAGGATAATAAAAAATACAGGCTAATAGTTAGTCATCTATAACAATCAAACTTATAGTCATGTTAGGTATGTTTTCAATGTCATACAGAGATATATTTTAGATAGAAAGGTGACCTTCAAACACTTCAAAGACCTATAGAATATGGCATTTAAAATACTATAACAACATTAAGGCTTTTCATGACAGTGAGATATGTCTGCCTCTGGCAGCACCAATTTCCTACAAAAAAAGGATGATGGGCATCAAAGAACCTCCAATTGGATTTTACTTTCTTTGTGGCAAAAGCTAGCCATTTGAGCAAGAAACTGCCCTTGCTTCAACTGCTGACAGTATGCTGTCAAAACTGGACAAGGATGACACAAAAGAGCAATGACCTAACTTTTCCAAGACAGGGTAGGACAATTTTAAAAATTTTCCTGCTTCACAAAAACATCTGACAGATATTCTAGGACTACAGGCCGAAGATGGATGCTTCAATGTTGCAGAGGAACCTTGGGTAACTGTTCAGGCAACCAGATGACTCTGTCATTTCTATAGTTTTGTAAGTTGCTTGTTCTGCAATTCCTGTTTACTCAGGTAATATTATATCCTTCTGGATCTTTGATGGGGTTGAAGACTAGATAGTTATAGTTTTTCTTAGTTATGATAGAATATAAATTAGTACAAAACTTTGGACTAATCAAAACAGGATAGAAATGGAGTATTTTTTTTCTGAATTTGCCAAATACAAATGGACAGGACATTGTGAATATAATTCTTACTTGATAATTGTTCTTACTGTACACAGTTTCATTTGTTAAAGTTAATATCTCTCCTTTCTATTTAGACAATATCTGATAATTTTTCTTATTGTATATAGCTGTACTATGTTGAGTTAAAACTTTTCCTTTTTATTTAGACAAAAGGGGGAGGTGTTATGGAATAATCTTTTTTTTATACTGTGACGATATGTCACTCTGATTGGTTTAATAAAAAGCTAAACAGTGAATAGCTAGGCAAGATTTCTGGACAGAGAGGACCCTGGGAAGAAGAAAGGCAGAGTCACCAGCCTGATGGAGAGGAAGCAGCATGGGCAGTAGAGAGTCAAGGCAACCAAGCCAAGTAAAATAATACAGATTAAAAGATGTGGGTTAATTTAGGTTATAAGAGCTAGGTAGAAACAAGCCTAAGCTATTGGCCAAGCTTTCATAATTAATAGTAAGTTTCCATGTCATTATTGGGGAAGCAATGGTCCCAACAAAAAAGTCCAACTACAGAGATTTGAAAGCAGCACCTTGTTGCTGGCCTCCTGCCTTGGAGAAACTATTAGTTTACATCCTTGCAATCACCGAGATCAGATCCATAATGGCTTTTCTCCATGGAAAACTACTCTGCGTTAGAATTAAAAACTGAGGAAGGTAAAGGAGATGACAAGATGGGGGAAACAGAAGACATATTGTGGGGGGGTCGATGCAGTAAGTGAAGACGTACCTTTACTCTGTACTCATCAACATCTATAATGGTGGCGACACGAATTAACCGGGGGTTTCTTCTGTCCACGGCTTCCAGCTTCATGTTGGGCAAAAAGCCATGAGGAGCCCTCTGCAGAATTACAGTGTAACAAAGTCAGTGACAAGGCACCAAAAGCCGCTCCGGCTGCACTGTCCAGGACCACGGTTTCGGCGTAAACACACAGATCTTTAACAAAGTTGGGATTTAGTTTTAAGAGTGCATAGGACTTAATGCATATTTTCAAATCAGTGTTTACAAAAACCTATAAAGAGAAAGAAAAAAAATTTTGGCCATTTTAGAACTAGCTTCAAAACATGAGAAAGATTCAGTTATGAATTTATCAACGGTCATGTCAAAGTTTGACAAAATTCTTAATGCAGTTTCTGCATTAGTTTCGACGTTTTCTGAAAGTAATACAAAATAAGATTGTGCTTGCTATTCCCACTGCCCATTTAAAATGTATAGCTTAAGAGGAAATGTCTTATTTAGCAAGTCACTCAAAAAGCTAAATATGATGTTTTCTAAACTTAAACTTTGAGAAAAGCTGCTTAAGTTCAACATCAACACTCCCTTAAAGTTCAACTATGATGTAATTTAAAGCCATATGCTATTCTTTCACAGTCTCACCTTACAACATCAGGCTTATGTCTGAAAATATTTGGGATCAAGAGTCCATAATGATAAAAATCAAACAATAAAGCAAATAGGATGGGAAACCCATTGGGCCCAGGAAGTAGTTGTCCTAAGAAAATTTAACTGTCAAAAGTGAAACTACTCCAACAGTTTTTATAGGTGAGCAGAAGGGCTTCACTTCAAAGGCTATTTCACATGAAAAGTGTCCAGCTGACTTTATGTGAGAAAGTATATTGAGTTTCTCAAGTCTAGAAGTGGCAACAGGAAAATAAATCTCTATTAATGTGTCAGTAATAAACAGTTAAGCCATTCTCCAGTATCTGGTAAACCTCACCACAGCTTTTATAGGAGAATATTTTCTTTTGAAAGCATTATTACACCTACTAAATGGACTATGCCAATATAATTGGGTCTCTGAAAAGACCTAATTTTCTCCACATGATCACTGTCCTCCACAAGGAATGTAATTATCTAGGGTTGTAGATGCCAAATACACGTATTTGAGCTGATCCAAAATCAGCTAGAACCCAGAAGTGTCTTTGTAGCTTAATATTTCCATCTTTTCATTTTCTTGAATCTTTCCTATAGGAAAATTAAATGAAGACTTGGATAAAGTCAAGAGAGAAAAGGAAGCTACCACATATTAGGCACACTTGCTTACTGAAGTGTTAAAGCCTTGAAACTCCTGTATCACTAGCCTCCCAGATGTCTTTCTTCTGTGTGCTTCTCACCCTACATCCACCAGTAAACCCTTTCCTAGAAAAATAAAAGAGCATTTTCCTCCCAATCTCATCTAATCTCCAGAAAACATGCAGTAAATACAATTATTTAAATACCTAATGTATAAAGTTCTGATTAAAGATAAGCCTTTAATTCCAGTACTCGGGAGGCAGAGGCAAATGGAGCTCTGTGAGTTCGAGGCCAACCTGGTCTACATAGAGAGCTCCAGGACAGTCAGGGTTACATAGAAATACTATGTCATAAAATCAAAAACAAACAAAAAGAGGTTAATTGAGGTGGAAGAACACAAGTAGAATTTGGAAGGGAAGAGTATATTAAAACCCACTGACTTAGAACACAAGTATTTCTAATTGCATCACTTCTGTATGTACAATGTTTTACAAATTAATTTCTACCCAGTTAAGCCTTTAATAAATAGACATCTGTAAATCTGAAATATAAACACTGGTATTCTCACAATTGCCAGAACAAATATTGCTCTCATGTAGATAAAACTATGCTCACAAAAGACCCCCATCCACTATTTCACCTATTTGATTATGTTACCATCACAATCCAAACACCCCCTGACAAAAGGACACAAGTCAAGAGTTCTCAGCTCAGCAGGGCCTGAGAAATGGGTTTCAGGTTCTCCACCAACAGTGGCTGATGGGACTTTTGGTTAGAGCCCCTGGGATCCTTGATGGAATGTAGGAGCAACAGCAAATAAATACCAACTCCGTATCATTAATTAGATACAAAGCAAGTTGGTTATGAAGTTATCACCTAGATTTAAGAATTAGAATCTCGTCAAAGCATTGGCAGTGGGAGTCTGCACCCTCAAGGAACTTACCGTGTTAAAAACTCCAGCAGGCATCGCATTTGTTTGAGTAGCTTCCAGATAGTCTGTCCAGGAAAACTTTTCTGGATCAGGATAACCTGAGAAAACACACACACACACACACACACACACACACACACACACACACACACACACACACACATCAGAAGAGTCCTTATAGATCCCCACGTGTTATGAAAGTCTACAACCATTACCTCTTGTGTCAGAATTTTACGTATCTTGCCCAATTCTTAGGCTAACCTCTGGGATGACTAAAGCAAAACTGTGCAATCACTCATTCACTACTTCATTCATTCACTCATCAAGGCCAGGTGGCTTTGTCAGCACTGGGTAGACCTAGGTGGTAGCCAAGACTCTATGACTCCCAAGAGTTATGCTTCTCAGGACCCTGACCAGACCTAGGATTAGCCAGCTGACATTGTGCTGAGAACATGAAGGACTTTAAGGACCTTTTCAACCCCTCCACTAATTCTATGCTTAGCTGCATTCTACTCTTGCTATTAAATCTGTTTAAGTACAATGTTCCAAAATGGCTATATTTATCATTGCATTTTACTTTTGGGGTTTCTGAGACTGGTTCACATGATGTAACCCTAGGGATCTTCTTGTGTCTAGCTCCTGAGGGCTGGGGGGACTGGAACAAGGCACACACAGTAACCAGCCTATCACCGATTTTAAATACATACATAACAGATGTTCAGATACATATGTCCATCTTTAAATACATGTTTGACATATCTCAAAACAACCTATTTTTCTAATTTCTTTTGGCTGAGTATTTTGATACTTTTGAGGTTGATGTTCTTTTATTAATGGCCTCTATCAAAGATGTATGGATACTGTGTTATTCTCTTCTTCCTTACTTTTTTAGTAATCAGTAATTACATTTATTTATCAGCTCCATCTTTCCTTTTTCTCATTATTTTATGAATCTTACTCTTATCTAATTAGTTTTATTTTAAAGTTGCTTTACTGAACTGAACTGGAAAATATTTATTTTTATTTTCTTAATTAGTGAAAGTATTTTATATTATAAATCTATCATTGTTGCCCCTGAATACAGTGCTAGAAAACTATATAAACTTGTATGAAGTGCTCTTTTACTTACACTTATTTAAAAAAACTACAATCCAGTTGAATTATTGTCCATATGTATAAGAGATATTCCAGGTGACTAATGGCTGTGTTTAAATATTTAAAATAGTAATGTTTGTTCTATCTAAGGAAACCCAACACATGGATAAGATCAGTTTTAGATTCTGTATAAGGAGATCTTTGATTATTTTTTTCCCAAGAAAGCTAAGCAGAAACATATTTTAGCCCCTGTAACAATCATCTAAAAATACTGGAATTATGAATAACAAGCTCAAATCCTTACAGCCCTAACTTCCTGGTCTAGGTGATCTTCCCATAGAAGTCTGACAACCATCAGTATACTTACAGACAATGAAAGACTCAACAAACATAGGTGTGCTAGACAACAATGTTAAAATGATGGACAGCTGTTCCATTTAATAGCCAGCAGTAAAAGGGATCTTCTAATAAGGAGTGGATTCAATCAGGATAGAGGAAATGTAGATCATAATCACATATGTTGAATGGGTAAAGTAGCATGTTAACATCAACTACTCATCCAAGTAGCATTAAATCATGGATGATGCCAAAGTAAAGCTATCTACTAGATAACATCATACAAGTGAATGAAATGCTCCATGGTCTCCTTCATAGAAGAATGCCAAGCTTTGTTCTTCTGAGGAAGAAAGAGAAGCTTGACATTTTGTGTGATTTATCTGAGGAAAAATAACTAAAAGTGAGATCAAAGCTGGAGCTAACGTCTCCTGACCCAATGCTTGGAGGGTTATTGAATGCTGCTGGGCCCCTGTTCAAGAACAGTTATTGAGAAAATAAGATTATGTGTCTAGTAGCAACTAAGCTCTGGCTGGTTGATCTGGTCACCCTAACAGCCTGGATTACCCTGGAAGCCCAGCAGACACCACTTACCCATCACTTTGTCGGGGATTTTGGATGGAACTAAAAGAAGCTTGGTAGCTCATCCCAGTGTGCAGGCCTCCAACAGGAAAGTTCCAAACAGAAAGTGGCACTCCCACGGAAGTCTCTGTATGTGTGTGTATGTGGGGGAGCAGTGGTATTCACTGATCACACAACTGAGTGATCACTAAGGATCCCATGTCAGCACTATATGAGCTAGCGTGTGATACCTTCACCACTGTAATGGCTTCCTTAAAACAATAAACATTAGAACAAGGCTCTTGTATTTATACTGCCACAAACACCAGAAGCCTTGTATATATATTCAGCTCCACACAAAGAGGGGGTGGGGAATGTCTTCTGGCAAAATCACTAAAGTAAGACTGTCAACAGGCTGCCAGATCATCACTAGTCACCCACCGCTCTTTGATCTATGTAGGGAGAATTGTGCCTCTGTTTGTCAAGAGAGATAGTTTGTTAATATTATTTTTTTCTGTTTTGTTGTTGTTTGTTTGTTTTTAAAAATAAACTCTCACTATGTAGCCCAGGCTGGCCACAGACTTCCTGCTATCCTCCTGTCTTCTGAGCGCTGGGATTTCAGGTGTGAACTGCCACATCCAGTTCAGAGAGCTCATTTTGCAAATTTTTTTTTTTTTTGCTCAAAACAGAACCCAGTTGAAGCCACTGCAGAATAAATTATGTAAAGAAATGAACACAACTCCCTGTCTAGAGAAATCACCAACAACTAATGAATCTGTTCTGCATTTGCTCCCGGCAGGCCCCTGACCTTGCCTGCTGTCCACTTTTCATGAATTGTAACCATTCAGGGTCAGCTAACTGGCATTCTTGTTCTTCCCCTCTAAACTTGGAATAGAAATCTGTAGTTGTTTTTGCCTTTGTTTTCCCCTATCATCAACTCCATAATATTCCACTCAGAGTCACAGAATACTATGACTGGCAATGATGTCATCAACTTATTGTGCTTGTTATCGCCTCAGACCCATCTGTGCCTCACAATTAAGAGGTGCCTAGTCACTAGCATTTTAATCAATTAATTAATCCCTGACAACCTATGTCAATGGACTACACATACAGGAACTAGCCTGTTATCGCCAATGCAAAAATTCTTTGAGTTGTAAATAATTAGTCCATCTTGAAACCAAATAAGACATATCTTTTTAGCATGAGTTTTGATATTATAATTTAGCTCTTCAAGGAAACTGTGAAATAATCACTGACTACCAACAATATTTTGCATTCTTCAAATGGCAAAACTACCTCAGATTATCAGCCAATTTGTAATTCTGGAGATATAGGGAAAGCACTACCATTATTCCTGGAGAGTAAATTCTAACATCACACCAGGTTTCAAGGACTGTAGTAATGGCCTCAGAAAATAATCTTCATTCAGTATTCATTCACAAGTTTTGCTGTTAAACTTACAGTTTTTTAATGTATGAATAAGCACACTCTCTTACTGTGCTCCTTCCCAAATACAGCCAAATATCAATAAAGACATTTAAATTTTTTATTACATTTTTATTTATTTATTTCTGTGAGTGTAAGGGAAGGTGGGGGTGCCTGCCTGCTGCCACATGTGAGTGGAGGTCAAAGGACAACTTGTGGGAATCAGTTGTCTTCTTTCATCTTTGGCGACCTTGAGATTGAACTCAGGTTACCAGGCTGGATGACAGGTGTCTAGCTGCCAGAGCTAGCTAAATGGCCCCAATAAAGGCATTTTTAAAGGAATGCTTAACAATAGAGAAAGTGTCAAAGTAATCACAAGAATGCACACAAACCACTGATAAGAAAGGGGATGTGAGTATTCTTGTGTGTCCATATGCAACCATTTTGAAAATAGTAAATGACATAGGGCATAAAATGCCAAAGATCTGAGAAGTTTTCTTTCTGGGAAGAAACTTGATCAGCAGTTTCTGGACTACTCTGCAGTTAGTTACAGTCCTCTGTCTGGTGCTGACTAATGCATGTTAAGTCAAACAATGTAAGAAATCACTTCTGAGTTTAGCCACAAAGCCTCCCAGCCACCATGTGCCACAACCAGATCAGGACATTACCAAGGATCCAGAGAGTACTGGCTCCAGAGCAACTGACACCATTAATCCTTACCAGACACGGCTGTACTGTGGCAGAAGGAGGGCTGTGCTTAATGTGTTAAAAACATTAAGATTTTGAAGTGGTTTAATACACTAGTTAGTTCACAGTTACTAACAGAAAGGGACTAATAACAATGCTTTTACGTGGAAGGAAAAACTGGCTGGGAGGGAGAAACAGAAGGCAACAAAAATAGCAAGTTTTGCAGCTGAAGTACTATAAATAAAATGCCATTTAATCAAAATAATAAATTCATTAAAGCACAACTAATACAATAATATAAAGTCACAGTGAAAATAGATTAAAAGCCCATGGGTTATGTCAACAAATATTTCTGGAAGCATGCAAAGCAAGCCAGGAAATGAAAACTGACTTAACAGGCCTGAGAAATCCCAGACATAAATCTGCTAAAGGAGAATGCCGATAGCAAGCAAGCAATTCGTGAGACTCTAGGAAGAGCAGCCACCGGACACGTCTGCAGGCAACACCGTGGGCCCAAAAGCAGACGGCTGACTGCGAGTTCTGACGGGCACTGTTAGACCCCATGTACACTATGCAAACGTTCCAGTGTTTCCACATTCTGACCAACAGTTTCTAATTATTTGTTTTGCACCGCAGTTTGTAGATAGTAGCCACCTGGTCGACAAAAAACAGGTGACGCACACTGTAGCTGTTGGCATTTCCCCAATGATTTGTGATGCTCAGACTTACATCACATGCTTATTCCCATATCGTCTGTGGAGAGGGATGGGTATAAATCCTTTCCCTATTTCTGTTGTTCTAATATTTTTTGTGGTACTGAGGATCAAACCCTGGGCCGTACACATACGAGGCAAACACTGGACAGTACGTCACCAAGCTACTTCCCCAGGTGAGTTAGCCTGGTTTTGAATCTGTTTGCATGTTTTGGTGTTGACTTTTAGGCGTTTACTTTACATTCTATATTATAACCACTCCTTATTAGATATACGAGTTG